CACGAGATAAATAAATGTAGGCCATACAAAAATTTCTTCCAGCCCGGGAATCGAACTCGGGACCACCGCGTGGCAGTCCAGTATGGTAACCGTTCGGCCACCGAGGCAGTTACTTATTCATTATATTGCAGTAAAATTGACCCAAATACCTGACTTAAAACAAAAGGTTAAAATGTAATATATTTAAACACAAAATTATTAACAACTAGGCAAAGAAAAAAATCAATACAATTAATAAATTATAACAATAATTAGAAGTAAACCTTAATAAAATGAAATATTTCACATTAATAAACATGAGTATAAATACATAGAACATAAAGCACGAGCAGACATCTGCTATATTGCAAAAGCAGTATCCTGAGATTGCGTCTGAAACGGCCACAGAAGGCAATTACGTTTAAACGGAGATAGTGATTGAGACAAACGACTAAAAGGTACCGTTACTCGTACACAGATACGTAGCAAGGTTCTCCAAACCGAACAATACGCTACGTAGCGAGGCAAGGTGTAAAACAGAATAAATTTCAACTTCCCAAATGTTGTTCAAACAATAGCGTAACCCGAATTACATTTTTAACATTCAAACTTCCTTAGACGATGTTTCAGTCGTAACATTTTAAACAATATTTAAGTTTATCACTTGCACCAGAAATGAACAAGCACAAGGCGAGCATCACACCACGTGTTGCCAATTTAACCCTTCGGCCGTGCGCCCGGAAAATTGACACGCTGCCTTTACGAGTTATGAACATGAAGGTATGTTAGATGTGGCAATTTAATATAGGACGTACAAGTCATATTTTTAAGATTTTTCTAACACATAATTGGTCATGTATTATATCCCGTATAAAAGGAAACTAGCCTCATCAAGTTGAACAACTATAAAAAGTATCATATTTATAAGCTTGATTTGTGATGCGATAAAGAACAAACTGACCCTTAAATCATAAAATACGATTTAGCGTGAAAATAAAAAACGTTTTTATCTGAACATATGTCTCGCTAGTCATAGATATTTCATTAATTGATGGGTTTGATACCTGGAAGCCTGAAAATCGAATTTCCGAATGAACATTAGATCATATTTGGTGGCTATAGCTATAATTTAATATTATATTTGTAACAATAACTTACATTATTATTTATATAACTTGAATTACTTACATTGTTTTGTTTTACATTTTTACTTGGTACATTATAGTTTTAGAGTTAGTACTTGCGTGTGATACAGTTTGGTGTCATGGCTTACTGGGTTGCCATCGCTCACCATATGGTACTGATAGAAAACCAGCTCTGTTTGACTTTTCACGGTCTACAGTATTTATGCTGAGTCAGGGCCATTTCAGCACAAAGTGTAGTCATACATAAAATTTTGTTAATTCTCACAGTGTTTGTTTGTCTGTCTGTTTCTCTCACCGTATTTGTTTTTATCACAGTATTTGTTTTATATAAATGTGTAT